CTACAGTAGATATACACACAGAGCCTGTTACTGTCTGTAGTACTACAGTAGATATACACACAGAGCCTGTTACTGTCTGTAGTACTACAGTAGATATACAACAGAGCTGTACTGTCTGTAGTACTACAGTAGATATACACACAGAGGCCTGTTACTGTCTGTAGTGTAGTACTACAGTAGATATACACCAGAGCCTGTTACTGTCTGTAGTACTACAGTAGATATACACACGAGCCTGTTACTGTCTGTAGTACTACAGTAGATATACACACAGAGCCTGTTACTGTCTGTAGTACTACAGTAGATATACACACAGAGCTGTTACTGTCTGTAGTACTACAGTAGATATACACGCAGAGCCTTTACTGTCTGTAGTACTACAGTAGATATACACACAGAGCCTGTTAGTGTCTGTAGTACTACGTAGATTACACACAGAGCCTGTTACTGTCTGTAGTACTACAGTAGTATAACACACAGAGCCTGTTACTGTCTGTAGTACTACAGTAGATACACACGAGCCTGTTACTGTCTGTAGTACTACGTAGATATACACACGAGCCTGTTACTGTCTGTAGTACTACAGTAGATATACACAATACACAGAGCATGTTACTGTCTGTAGTACTACAGTAGATATACACACAGAGCCTGTTACTGTCTGTAGTACTACAGTAGATATACACACAGAGCCTGTTACTGTCTGTAGTACTACAGTAGATATACACACAGAGCCTGTTACTGTCTGTAGTACTACAGTAGATATACACACAGAGCCTGTTACTGTCTGTAGTACTACAGTAGATATACACACAGAGCCTGTTACTGTCTGTAGTACTACAGTAGATATACACACAGCCAGCTAGCCAGTTCCCACATCCCTCCTTATCTGTCAGTGTGCTGGGAGAAAGTCCAGTGGATTAGAGTGAGGCCTGTTCTAATCCGTGAGAACTCTCCTCCTCACACCCTGGGTAGTAGGCTCTCCCACACTGAGGCCCAAATGGCACCCTATTCCCTACATAGTGCACTTATTTTGAGCAGGGCCATTATGGGCTCACTATGTAGGGAATACGGTGCGATTTGGGACGCACACAGAGACTGAGACCAGACTGCAATGCACTGCCAGTCCAGAGTAATCGCTCTTACTTAACCCACCCTTCTGCCTCGGCATGTCTCGGAACGGTCATCATCCCCTGCGGTCAACTCAGTCAGGTGCTCCAGGTCTATTTACACCAGACTGTGTCATCTCACAGGTCTGGGTGGCTCCAGGTTTCGATGGTCCACCACGGCTGGGGTCTATGTCTCCCACAGGTCTGGGTGGCTCCAGGTCTATGTCCACCAGGACTGGGTCATCTCACAGTGGTCTGGGTGGCTCCAGGTCTATGTCCACCAGGACTGGGTCATCTCACAGTGGTCTGGGTGGCTCCAGGTCTATGTCCACCAGGACTGGGTCATCTCACAGTGGTCTGGGTGGCTCCAGGTCTATGTCTACCAGGACTGGGTTCATCTCACAGTGGGTCTGGGTGGGTCCAGGGTCTATGTTCTAACCAGGGACTGGTCATTCACAGGGTCTGGGTGGCTCCAGGTCGATGTACCACCAGGACTGGGTCATCTCACAGTGGTCTGGGTGGCTCCAGGTCTATGTCCACCAGGACTGGGTCATCTCTATGGTCCAAGTGGAGCTCAGGTTTGGGTGTTACAGATAATGTACTGTACGCTGAGTAGCTGCCCGTAGCTTAAGCTAGCTAGCTACCTTCCTTAGGTGTTGTGCTATTGTTAGAGGATGGGGTGAGTGCTAGTGGTCTTTCAGATACTGGTTCAAAGACACACACACGCACGCGCGCTCCGTGAGACTGGTATGGTCTTCTTATCAGTGTGTCTTTGATCCTTCCAGTGGCGTTGGAAACCTGCTGCCAGAATAATAAGTCACTCACTGCAGCCCTGTTTTCATTTGACTGTTACATATCTCTGTGTTCATAACTACAAGTCACCAAGTGATTTGTCATCAGAGTGACTCGTATAACAGGGACTGATTGCTCATGTCTATTCTACTATTGTCCCATATTGTTTAGTTTGATAAGGCTCTATATGACCGGTCTGGTGGGTGAGCTCTGATGGCCTCACCCGTCCTGTTTTCGCCTCTATCTGGCATCTCACTGTCAGTCAGATAATGGATATAGTGCTCTGAATTGATTGAACAATATCTCTTTGCTGAACCCATTGCATTCTGAGAGTGCTGTCTCCCTACACTGCCACAATAACCTTGACTGGGAGTGGGCGTACATAGCCATAGAAATGGACTTACTACAACGGACATTCCTATTCCAGTCAAATATCCGTGGTCTGGAGAGGCTTTGACCATTCTACTAATTCGATTTCTATGGTCCATACAGCACCACTCACTGCCTTCCCTGCCAGTAATCCTGACCACCACAAATCCTTGGAAATGGTAACTAGGCACTCTGATTCCAGCCTTCCAGCCATTTCCCCCATCTGTATTAATATTTGATATGTGGAAATGGAAAAGGAATTTATCAATGCCCTCCAGGCCCGGCCCTGTCTCTAGCCAGTAATGCCACGGACCCCTCAGTTCTCATATCCTGGCACACACACACCCACACGAGCATGCACATTCCACACACACACACACCTACACACACACACCACACCCTAACTGAAAACAACTGTGCCCAGATTACTGTGCTGAAGCTGGGCTTGGGCTAGCTGGAGATGTCCCTAAGGACTGAGAATATCATTTTCCAGAGAGAAAGGAGTGAGAGAGAAACACAAAACATGTTCATTAGATTTTGGATTTGGCTGATCCACCTCTTCTCACACATACACACACACACACTGGAGGGCTTTGGAACGATTGTTGTCATTGGAGGTTGGTTCAGTATGTACGAGGGGGTGAGTTTAGCTGTTTGTCTGAGCCAGTGGTGAGGTTGGGATCAGGTCCTCTGTTGTATCTGGCTCCCTCTGGGCTCCTCTGGGCTGGAGAGGGGTTGTTTTCTGGATGGAGGGATGGAGAGCCTGGCCAACTGCTTGTTTATCTCCATGCCCAGACCAGGAGGAGAATGTTCTATGTGGAGAATGAAGGAGGAGGAGGAAGGAAAGAAGAGTAGAGGGAAGAGGAGGAGGAGGAGGAGAAAGTACAGATAGCAAGGTGTGAGGAGGAGAGGGATGAGAGGAGAGCCAGGGGTTTGCAATTGCAACACACACAAACTTTCTATGTGGTAAATGAACCGGGTCCAGGGAATAAGCGTCTGATTGTTTGACTGAGAGAGCGTCTGACTGAGTGCAGGGTCAGGCGTGTTGGGATGATGCGGAGGGCAGCTGAAGCTGTAACAGGCCGGCTGACTGACCTGCCTGGCTGTTGGTGTATTACACAGATGAAAGAGCTTCCACGCTGAGCTCCACGTGCCACAGAGAACCACAGGAATTAGCCTGCTCCCAGATCTGTTTGGGCTGCAGGGCCTATAGCCATTAGCCAATGACCACAGGAGTTGGCAAGACGGCACAAACAGATCTGGGACCAGGCTAGTAGGATTTATCTTGGAATCACGTACAGCACCACCTTTTGGCTCCATGTTTCCTTGTTGAAGGAAGGAACCTGTCTGACGTTCTGCTCTGTGTGCTATGGCCTGGTGCTCCACTGTGGTCTTAGGTTGTTAAACTTATCCCTTGTGGTCACTGGTCAAACCTGAAGTAGGACACCTTGTGACTTGGAGAGCAGGGAGGAACTGGTTTGCTACCACAAAGTCTCTCTCTCTTGTTGAATTTAACACAGGAGAGGCCAGTGACCCGGCCGATGACACACTGTTATAGCTAACCATTCTGGGTGTGTTAGTGATTTCATTAAAGGGCTAATGCATTCTGAGCTATTTTGCACATGCGCTTAATCTAGTCCACATTCAGGTCACAGGTCGTGTTTTGCAATGCACAAACAAACACCTGTGTTGTATTCTAAGCAGCAATGCGCTAAATGTGTATTTTGTGGTTAGCCAGCGTGGGGAGAGAAGACAAGGTGTACAGAGGCAGCAGAGGCAAACATGACGAGCATTACAAACCTCCCTCTTCACTTCTCTCACACTTTGACTGGATGGCAATTTTTTTTGTTGCAAGATTTATTTTTGAATTCTGAAGGGTGGCACAGAAAACTTTAAAGGGAAATTTCAAACATTTTCAACTTCATATTCATCATCTCCAGCATCACCCCAACATCAATATGTGTGAAAATGGCACGTTTCTATGTTTTGTAGTAAAAAAGATAGCGGAAGATAAGTGTTTCCAATGACATCATCGGTGCGCGTCCTGTGATTTTAACCAATTATGAGGAGGCATTGCCCACTAATTGCCAATTAATTATGTATACTAATTGGTTGAACACTTATCTTCCTCTTATCTTTTTTTTTACTACAAAATATAGAAACTTGCCATTTTCACACGTTGATGTTGGGGTGGTGCTGGAGATGATGAATATGAAGTAGAAAAATTGTGAAATTTCCCTTTAATAATATTGATAGTATGCAGGTGGATAATATATTTCCAAGTCAGTCTTTCCAAAGCTGATGTGTATATGGCCCTGAGACCCCTGATCCTCGTTAGAGCCTAATGTCTAATGGCCTCATCTGGGCTAAGAGTGTTTTCAGACCCACCTTCCCTGCTGTGTTTCGATACACAGAACCTGATCCCTCTGGAACCTCCCGGACTCTGACTGGTAATGGATTGGCTTAACGGGTTGCATCTGTGCTTTGGTGACATGGAGGGTCCTCCTGCTGGTGATTTAGATGGATTTAGGTGGCTTGAACTTGAATTGACATGGGCTTTATGGCTGTACAGGTGAAAGACGCACACAGACAGATACTGACATGGAGACACTTTTTTCTCTTTCTTCTGTAGAGTAGACCGTGACGCAGAGACACAGGCCAATAGACCACTGTGAGATGACCCAGTCCTGGTGTACATAGACCTGGAGCAACCCTGACTGAGTTGTATCCATGCCAGGGGATGATTTGTACCGTTCCGAGACATGCCGAGGCAGAAGGGTGGGTTAAGTAAGAGCGATTACTCTGGACTGGCAGTGCATTGCAGTCTGGTCTCAGTCTCCGTGTGCATCCCAAATGGCACCGTGCCTGCCTCTGCCAGCTAAAAGGACAAAATCACTGCTAATGCTACAACTAAAATCTCCGAAAATATTACTCCTTTAGTGCTTTAACCAGGCATTGTTCTCATCCTCATGTAATGCCCCTGGTGCAGATTTCAGAGCACCACCATCCTGACCCCCATCAGTGGATTAAAACTATAATATCCTCAACGGAGGTAGAATTTGTGTTTATCTGGGCTGGAAAATAAGGTCATAATGAAAGAAATTGATGTCTCTGACCTTTTTTGTGAAACTGAAGGCTGAACCCTGTCTGCTTTTGGTACCATCTGACCAGGAAGGAATGAGGATGATTAATGACTAGGTTTGTTGACCGATAAGGCCTCCTCCCACCCTATCTCTCTCTCTCTGCCTGCCTGTGTATGTTGAAAAGAAAAGAGATGACGCAACGTTGTGCCAAGCTGATCTGGCCGTGGGGGGGGGGGGTGACTGTGGGTGACTCACCTCTATAGGTCAGGGCAGGGCCACACGGGTACTCTCCACCCCAAAACAGTCAACCAACCCCTTACATGACCCCCTGGATAGAGTGCCTGAATAGAGGGAGGAGCTGGCGTTAGTTAGTGAGAGTATAGGAGAGGTGGACGGTTAAAAGGGGCAGGCAGGCTATACCAGTTTCCATGGCTGGGCAGACATTTACGTAACCTGTTGCTGCAGAGGCAACTGTTCAGTGTCAGCTCAGACCCTGTGTGCGCGTGCATAAATTACATGTGTTGATCAGGGTGTTTGGTGACTGGTCGCCCATGTCCTCATGTTTTAGAGTCAGTCTGGCATTGGCACAGTAAAGGTACCCCAGCGCGTGTGTGTGTGTGTGTGTGGTGTGTGTGTGTGTGTGTGTATAGAGGTGCACCACGGTGTGTGAAAGTGATACTGATTAGTGTCCCCTCTGGCTCAGCATGCTCTGACCGTGCTGCCACATTTGACTGATGGCCGAGCCCTGGCTGTTCTAACACACACACACACACCACACACACACCACAACCCCCCCCCCCCCCCCACACACCACACACACACACCACAACCCCCCCCTCCCACACACACACCACAACCCCACACCCCACACACACACCACACCCCCCCCCCCACACACACCCACAACCCCCCACACCCCCCCCCCTCACACACACCACACACCCAACCCCCCCACACACAACCAACACCACCACCCCCCACCCAACAACACCAACAAACACAACCCCCCCCCACACACACACCCACAACCCCCCCCCACCACACCACACCACAACCCCCCCCCCCACACACACCCCACAACCCCCCCCTCCACACACCACACAAACCACCAACCACCCCCCCTCCACCACACACACACCAAACCCCCCCCACCACACACCACCACACACACCCCCCTCCCACACCCACACCACAACCACAACCACCCCCACAACCACAACCCCCCCACACCCCAACACCAAACCCCCCCCACACACACCACAACCCCACAACCCCCCTCCACACACACACAACAAAACCCCTCCCACACACAACCCCCACCACACCCCCCTAACCCACACAACCCCCCCCCCCCCCCCACCACACCCAACCCACCCCCCCCCTCACCACCACACATCCCTCCACCCCCCCTCCACACCCCCTACACACCACCCCTCCACACCTCCCACACCACACCTACACCCCCCCTCCCCCCCCCACACCACACCCCCCCCCTCTCCACACTCCACCCCCTCACACCTCCCCCCTCCATCCTCCACACCAGCCCTCCCTAACCACTAACCATTTTTTACTCGCACCCACACCCTCCATCCATCACCACTGATCCTCCCCCTTAACCCAGGTGAACACTCCACACCTCCCTAACCAACCTTTTTCTTTCCTCCACTGCTTTTATGTGATTCCAGTCCGTGATTTAACACAAAGCTCATTACAGATCATTATAGGAAGACATCTGGTTTTACTATGCCATGATGAAGTCTGACCTTAAAGGGATACTTTGGGTTTTTCCCCCAGAGTCAGATGAACTCGTGGATACCATTTTGATGTCTCTGCGTGCGGTTTGAAGGAAGTTGCTAACTAGCGCTAGCGCAATTGCTAACTAGCGTGCTAGCAGATACCCATAGACTTCCAGTCATTGTGCTAACGCTAGTTAGCATTGGCTCGCAAAACTACTTCTAACTTCCTTCATACTGGACACAGACATAAAATGGTATCCACAAGTTCATCTGATTCTGGGGAAGTATATAAAGGGCCTCTTTGCCGAAATCCCGAAGTATCTCTTTAACAGTGCCAACCCTCTGGGCCACTAAAATATTTCTAAACCCCAAACATGGAATCTCCATAAAGCAAGTCAAACCTCTAAAACTCACCCTTTTAAATGTACAGCAATGTTTGCTAGTGTTTCCCCGACCACATTGGCCGGTGCATATATGGTTTATGGTGCTGGCCAGCACTGAACTGGTATTCCCATTAAGTTAGAGGGACACAGGCTGTTAAAATAGGACAACATTGTTAGAGAGGAGAGAAGTATGTAGGTTAGCTGGCTAGTCTGTTTGTTTTCTTGGGATTGTTTTTGTTTTCTCAGTTATTCCTGTGTGGTTCATGGCTTGACTAGGCAGGGTTACTGTAAAACACTGTCTTTGACAACTGCTGATGTAAAAAGGGCTTTATGAACACTTGATTGATTGAGTGATTGGTTTATTGATTGATTGGGTCCCGTTGTATACTTTAGGCTGGGTTAAAGGTACCCCAGCGTGTGTGTGTGTGTGTGTGTGTGTGTATAGAGGTGCACCACAGTGTGTGAAAGTGATACTGATTAGTGTCCCCTCTGTAAAGCATTATGTGACAAGACAACTGGAAATGGAATGTGTAATCTATTGATTGATAGATTTTTCTCCTGGTCTCTCCTACAGGATCGTAAGCTGTCTAAGACGGAGCGTCAGAGGTTCAAGGAGGAGGCTGAGATGTTGAAGGGTCTCCAGCACCATAACATTGTACGCTTCTACGACTCCTGGGAGTCTCCCTCCAAAGGAAAGAACTCCAAGTGCATCGTGCTGGTCACAGAGCTCATGACATCAGGCACCCTCAAAACGTTAGTAGTACTGACAAGCTTGTACGATTTTATGCACACACACACACACACACACACACACACACACACACACACTAAACATTTTGGGGAACATCCACCTCTCCAGTCGTCAACATCTGCCATCTCACCCCCCCTACTGTTGTTCTCTGCCACCAACAGAGATATGAAAATGTCAAAGGAAATCTCTTCTTGTTATTTTTCCTTTTAGTTAACCTTTTCCTTGTTCCATAACCTTCATATAATGCGTAGCCGCATCTGCTAGTCAAATAGGGCTTTCTGAGTGTTCCATAATAAGCCCTTCACAGCTCTGTGTGAGCCCTGAGAGCAGAGTGGTACCTCTTAACAGGGTGCTATTGTGTTGTGTCGCACCATGCCCAGGACGCATGTCCATCTGCCTACCACCCTGCTGCTAGCTAGTCTACACTCTGTCTGGCACACTAGAGACACACGCACACACGCACGCACACACACACACACACGCACACAGTCACACACACACAGTCACACACACACAGTCACTCTCACACACACACAGTCACACATTACAAAACCCCTGACAATGGAGAGAGAACAGAACCGGACAGGGCAGCAGGCCAGTCAGGGTTGGGGACCGGCCCAGTGTTCTCTGTGGTTACAATAAAACCTGAATGTAGAGCAGATAGCTACAGTAGGAATGGGCAATGGACAGCATGCCACCCACCACCCCACCTTCCATGGGACTGATGCATTGTGGGAGAGCTGCCCACCTGCCAGCTGCTGCTGATGCAGATTCCTCACATTCTTGATAGAGAGGGAGGGGGATAGACTGAGGTAGAGATACAGTGAGGGGGAAGGGGGAGACAGACAGTGAGACAGAGAAAGCGAGGATGGAGAGAGACAGACAGGCATTCAGACAAAGACAAAAGGAGAGGGCGTCAGTGTTTCTGCCTGTCCTGTCGGCCGTGGTGTGGTACAGTACTGACCATGTGGTACTAGTCTGTCTGGGCCCACCACAGGACAGACGGAGCAGCTCAGGACTCTGGACCAGACCAGCAGCTCCCTCCTGTGGAAGAGTCAGTGTGCTGTGTCCCAAACTACTGTACCTTCACTATGGGGACTGTAACACTGTCATGGCCTAGATTATCCACTTCCTGTAACACTGTCATGGCCTAGATTATCCACTTCCTGTAACACTGTCATGGCCTAGATCATCCACTTCCTGTAACACTGTCATGGCCTAGATTATCCACTTCCTGTAACACTGTCATGGCCTAGATCATCCACTTCCTGTAACACTGTCATGGCCTAGATTATCCACTTCCTGTAACACTGTCATGGCCTAGATTATCCACTTCCTGTAACACTGTCATTGTCTAGATCATCCACTTCCTGTAACACTGTCATGGCCTAGATCATCCACTTCCTGTAACACTGTCATGGCCTAGATCATCCACTTCCTGTAACACTGTCTCTGTTATGGAAGCAAGACTTGTATATGGCTATGAATTAAATGTGTGTGGGGGAAAAACAGAAACTATCTTTAAAGCTGAAGGAAGAAAAAGATTAACTGTTGGAAGAAGATGGAAGGAAAAGTCCCATTTGAGGATTGTGTGGATGTTCTTCTCCATGTGGTGCAGTATATTGCCCCAGGATTTGGTTTCCTTGGCAGCATCTTGCATACAGCCCTCTCTCCTAATAGCCGTACAGGCCTGGACCAAGACCAGGGACACATACATACTACAGTACCAGGAGCTGTGCCATACCCTCAGGAGGGCCAGAGCCAGGCACATGGCTGGGTAGGGCGGCAGGCTGGTTGAGCTCACGCCAGCCTGGTCTGGTCTGGTCCACATGGTTATCATCATCACCCACACAGCTGTGTGTGTGGGGGGGGGGGTTCAACATGGGAGCCTAATCCCAGTGCAGAAAGACAAACAGTGACACATGTCTGGCACTGTAGCACTCAGGGTACTGACCCAGATACACACATGTAGTCTAAATACAGGTGCACGTATACCCACCAGGGATTTTAGCAAGGCACTTAACCCTAATTGCTCCTGTAAGTCGCTCTGGATAAGAGCGTCTGCTAAATGACTAATTATTATTATAATTATTATTTGTCTGCCATTGAAATCCTTGGGCGGGCCGCCAAGCGTTTCTTCGGGCCTCCTAAGTCAAACAGTGTTTTTAGCAATACATTGTTTTCAGAAATGTTTTCAGTGTAGACTTAAACAACTAAAACCAGATACAGTATAAAGTATTTAGAAAAGATAATATACCTATATGTATATACAAAATAAAAGCTAGACCGTTGTGGAGAATTGAATTCTCAAAACAATGGATTTAGCAGTATTGATCGATGTTTGAGCAGCAAAATACCGCATTAGCCATGGCAAAATGCAGGGAACTGAAGGAAATTGGCTTAGAAATGCAGAAATGTCTCTACACCGCCAAGATGGGGGGGCCTCTAAAATTGTAATCTAAAATTCAGCTGCGCCCTCGTCCATTGACACACCCCCTGCCACGCCCACCACCTAAGCCCATTTTTTTATCCTGAAAACACCCTGCGCGTGCACACACACGTGCACACATACACACACGTGCACACACACATCTTCACAGACCTGCTACATACGTACCCGGTGTGCTACACTTTCGCAGTTACGGAAATTGTCACGGAATGACAACTTTCTTAGTTACCCCAGACCCATCCACAAACAAAGAGTGGGAGAGAGAAGGAGGAGGGAAAGAAAGAGGAGAGAATGGAAAGGGAGAGGCAGAGCAGGTATCAAGAGGCCTCTCTGTGAATCTTTGTTGTCTGTTGGATGTTGACCGCGTCTTTGGGCTCTGTCACACTGGCTTACCTACCTTGGCACCAGCCTCACACCTCAATCAGCTCCTGGACTTCCATCATAGCAGCCTTACCTCCTCGCTTGTCCTATACCGCATAGCACACACACACACACACACACACACACACACACACACACACACACACACACACACACACACACACACGTACGTACAATAACTTACCTATCAACACACCCCTCCCTCTCAGAGCTGGGACAATCCCAGACTAGACTCTATTAACTCAACACTGTAATGCTGTTTGTGTAGGCTTTATGCTCCAGTGGTGCCTTCATCACTCATTTCAGGAATTATTGGACAATTTCTCTTCTCATTAATTGTTATATTTGGACCATTTTTAGAAGCTTTTCTCATTAGATGCTTTAAGACAAATTTTCCATGAATAGGTGTTGAATGAAGGTTCTGAGACAGTAGCGTCCAAAGTGTTTCCAGAGCTCGCCTGTCAACAGCGAAGTCATTGACAGAACACATCCGTACAAACAAGCATCATTTTAGCGGAAGGAATAACAGTCTTATCTGATTTTCACAAGGCAAAGGGTGTGTTCCAAATGGCACCCTATTCCCGTTATATAGGGCACTGCTGGGCCCTGTTCAAAAGTAGTGCACTATAAAGGCAATAGGATGCCATTTGGAACTCAGGCCAGAAACTGGTCAGGCCAGAAAAGGTGTTTACAAAGTTAAGCAATGTGCCCCTGGAGTTTAACAAACATATAATCCTTTGTGTGTGCGCTAGGTGTGTGTTTCTGTGTTTGTGTTCCCTTTTGTGTTTCATTGTTTGTGTATGTCCACCCATCAAGCCTGCGGTGTAGAGAGAGAGAGCAAATGAGAGAGCAATAGAATGCCAGTATTGGTCCCTCCTGAGGAGGCACCGTGTAATGATGGGTACTACCCATCTCTTCCTGCTTCTCCCCTGCTGCTGCTCTTCCTCCTCCTCCTCCTGCTTCTCCCCCCTGCTGCTTCCTCTCTCCTCCTGCTTCTCCCCCTGCTGCTGCTCTTCCTCCTCCTCCTGCTTCTCCCCCTGCTGCTGCTCCTCCTCCTCCTCCTGCTTCTGCCGCTGCTCTTCTTCCTCCTCCTGCTTCTCCCCCTGCTGCTCCTCCTCCTCCTCCTGCTTCTCCCCCTGCTGCTGCTCTTCCTCCTCCTGCTTCTCCCCCTGCTAATCCTCCTCCTGCTTCTCCACCCTGCTGCTCCTCCTCCTGCTTCTCCCCCTGCTGCTGCTCCTCCTCTCCTCCTCCTCCTGCTTCTCCCCCTGCTGCTCCTCCTCTTCCTCCTGCTTCTCCCCCTGCTGCTGCTCTATCCCCTCCTGCTGCTTCCCCCTGTGCTACTCTTCCCCTGCTACTCTTCTTCTTTCCTGCCTCTCCACCCTGCTGCTCTGCTTCCTCCTCCTGCCTGCTTCCCTACTGCCCCCTGCTTTGCCGTCTCTCATCCTCCTCCCGCTGTTGTTCCTCCTCCTCCTCCTGCTTAGTAGATTGTTGTAATGAGGCTTACTGGACTAAATCCCAATCCATGGCAAGGCTCCAAATGATTTTATTATGCCCCGCCAGGGGCAGGGCAGGGCAGGGCTGGGCAGGCTAATCTAATGAAAGTGTAGAGGGGAGTAGGGAGAAGGAGATGCTTCCCTATCCTGTCACATGATGCTGAAAGAGCCAGTGTGAATCCCTATTGTACTGGGTAGACAACCATATCTGTTCAACACGACACATTTCTGAATCATGTAACGTTGCACCCTCCTGAACAGTACCCTTGAATAGCCAACCATCACCACACCTCTCAGTGAAATACAAACCCCATGATGCAATGCAACCATGATACTGGCCAATATGGACAATATGGTGTTTAATAGTCTCCATCTGTGGGCTGTGTTCTCTACCAACTCATTTTAATCAACCTGTCACAGCCTGGCCTGTATTTTAGTCCGTGTAGCTGAGTTTTTTTACTATCTAGCAATAGTAGCACCTGTCAACAGCTTTTCTCAGTTTGGATCATGGACGTTTCTGTTGTTGTGGAACAGTAGCTTGAATTGGAGCTCTGTGTATAATTTGGCACATTGACAGAAATGTTGTCCGATGTGCATTGTCCCTGTCAAATAAATGTTATAAAAATGGCATGTGCTCGTCCAGTGTGAGTGATTTGAACACTGGAAGATGTTTAACCGAAACCTAACAATCGGAACACTCAAATAATAACCTATACTGGTCTTCTGTCTCCTGGTACTATGCTCATAGGTCAAAACCGTTTCCTTGTCCCCTTTAGCTCATAACCTGCTACTTTATAAGGATTTATTAGAATGGGGTTAATCTCTTCCATGGGCATTGGGCAGATTACCCAGTCTGGGTTTTGGTAAATGTTGAATATTTAGGCCCTGCTGTTACCCCCGACAGGGGGAGAGAGGGTTGGAGGGAAGGAGAGAGGGAGGCTTAGGAAGAAGTGAAGGCCACTAATGCAATGTTGGACATGCTCTAACACACTCCAAATACTATATACTGAACAAAAATATAAACGCAACATGCAACAATTTCAACGATTTTACTGAGTTACAGTTCATATAAGGAAATCAGTCAATTGAAATAAATTCATTAGGCCCTAATCTATGGATTTCACATGACTGTGCAGGGGCGCAGCCATAGGTGGGCCTGGGAGGGCATAGTCCCACCCACTTGGGAGCCAGACCCACCCATTGGGGAGCCAGGCCCAGCCAATCAGAATTAGTTTTTCCCCATAAAAGAGCTTTATTACAGACAGAAATACTCCTCAGTTTCATCAGCTGTCCGGTTGGCTGGTCTCAGACGAATCCCGCAGGTGAAGAAGCCGGACGTGGAGGTCCTGGGCTGGCGTGGTTACACGTGTTTTGAGGCTGGTTAGACGTACTGCCAAATTCTCTAAAACGACGTTGGAGTCGGCTTATGGTAGAGAAATTAACATTAAATTATCTGGCAACAGCTCTAGTGGACATTCCTGCAGTCAGCATGCCAATTGCACGCTCCCTCAAAACTTGTGGCATTGTGTTGTGTGACAAAACTGCACGTTAGTGGCCTTTTATTGTCCCCAGCACAAGGTGCATCTGTGTAATGATCATGCTGTTTAATCAGCTTCTTGATATGCCACACCTATCAGGTGGATGGATTATCTTGGCAAATGAGAAATGCTCACTAACAGAGATGTAAACACATTTGTGCACACAATTGGAGATAAATAAGCTTTTTGTGCATATGGAAAATTTCTGGGATCTTTTATTTTAGCTCAAACATGGGACCAACACTTTTTACATGTTGTGTTTTATATTTTTGTTCAGTATAATATTATTTTTGGGCTCCCATTACAACAACTGAAAGGTTTTGTTATCTCCTCTGATATATCCAGATTAATATGTACATCAAGCCAGTGATCACTGTCCCGTGTAGCTCAGTTGGTAGAGCATGGCGGTTGCAACGCCAGGGTTGTGGGTTCGATTCCCACGGGGGACTAGTATGAAAAATGTATGCACTCACTACTGTAAGTTGCTCTGGATAAGAGCGTCTGCTAAATGACTAAAATGTAAAATCACTCATCGTCATCGATGGGTTGATAATCATTAATCACCTATATCAAAACAATACTTGATAGAAATGTGCTACACCTCATCTCACCACTGTTTTTGTTATTGTAAAAGCGAATTTGTTCTCAACGCTTTACCTTGCGTTTATAATGACAGTAACTTTTACTGGCTAAATGAACGTTTAAATGATGTTTCAGGAATCTGAAGCAGTTCAAAGCGATGAAGATGATAAATCAGCTATTTCATATAAAACCAAAACAACACTTGTTAGAAACGTACCACAGTCTCATCACGGTTTGTTCTTAATGTGTTCTAGGTATCTGAAGCGGTTCAAAGTGATGAAGATCAAGGTTCTGCGTAGCTGGTGTCGTCAGATCCTGAAGGGGCTCCACTTCCTCCACACCCGGACCCCTCCCATCATCCACAGGGACCTGAAGTGTGACAACATCTTCATCACCGGTCCCACTGGTTCCGTCAAGATAGGAGACCTGGGATTGGCTACGCTCAAACGGGCCTCCTTCGCCAAGAGTGTCATAGGTACGACCCCAAAGGCTGATTTACTGACCTCTTACCTTCCATCCCAACACCTGTGTCAAAGCCAGACCCCTTCCCTCGTCCCTTCCGACCTCCCCACAGATGGTTGAATTTAAAATATATTTCAGTTTAAATCGACACCTTCTGGAATGGAATGTGAGGGTTTCGGGTGGATGGGATAGGGCGGAGTAGGAAGAACGGGATAAAAGTAAAATATATTTTAAATTCACTTTTTTTAAAGTGTCGAAGATGCCAACCACTGTTTGTCGTGAGCCGACCACAGGTTTTCAGTGCCAGGCTCTCCCTGACCGCAGCACTCCGTGGGCCTCCAGTTTCCTCCAGAGCTGGTTGTGTTTGACTGATCTCAGGGTGAAACTGGGGAGCCACCCCGGCTCTGCTGTGCCAGCCAGTTCATGTTTTAACAAGGGGAAAACACCTTTTGGTCTCTGTTCCCCCATCTGAAAACAATCAGTTACGTGAGAAAAAAGCTAATTGAAATTCATATTATGCAGGTGAAAGCACTCTAACTTTCCATAAACTGTGGTGTGTTGGAGCTTGTAAATTGCCCTAATGACAGCAGGTCTTTAGCCACATCGTGAAATCCCACAAATGTTGACAATAAACGTGGGTTTTCCCTCTTTTGGGGTAAAAATAAATTTTCTCTTTGGGTTTGGGTGGAGACCTGTGGTCTGTTTACTTTAAGACTGATTTAAAGTCTAAGATACACATGCTGACAATGATAATGAATGTGTCTGAAATGGCACCCTATTCACTATATAGTGCACTACTTTTGAACAGGACCCATAGGGCTCTGGTCAAAAGTAGTGCACTATATAGGGAATAGGGTGCCATTTCGGATGCACCCAATGTAATATCTCTCTAAAACGTTTTCCTCGTTGGTTTTGTGTTCTCCCCACTCAGCGTTTTAAGATCACCTGATCCGACCATTATATCTGCTCATCTAGCTTTTTTCCCCCTTAATCAACCCTTTTTTCTTTTTTGTTTATCTATGCTCTTGAGTATTTAAAACATGTAGGCTCTCCCTCATTCTGCAGTACTGGATAATAATATAATATGTACTGCAGTCACAGTAAGTGGTTCTGGTAAGTGAAAATCAACATTTAAATCAACATTTCAAAAATTCTAAATAATCGTTTTTCTGTGTAAGACCTTTGCTTTACACCAGTGTCACAAGGTGCACAGAACAGGGCTGTTTAGTTCAGTCAATAGCTATGGGATAGGCTTATCTCGGGGCCTAACCAATCTACTCTAACCTTTGCTTCCAACAGGTCAACTAACAGGTAAGTGACACTAAGACATGTATCCTGTTTCTGTGAGAAAGGTGAGGTTTTGACACAAGTTAGTTCCATAGCTATGTTGATAACCACACCAGTAGGACAAATGTAGTCATAAAGGCCCTCGATTGGCCATTTCAGACTCATCTGTTACAAAGCTATCCAATCAGGCGTTTGTGTCTGGATGGGGAGGGGATTGAACGTACATTTACTTGTCTGTCTGGCTAACAGCCTGTCGTCCTCTCAACCCCTCTCCTGTTTGAGTCTTCTCTGACCAGACTACAGCTCTCAATTGCTTGATTACAAGGTACCAACACAAGGGCCTATCAGCATGTTCTGTGCACCTGTCCCCCCTTCTCTCTTAGCCCCAATAAAAGGCCTTACAGAGAAGAACTTGTGCTTGTTTCACTTCTGACTAAACTCCCCCTTCTCTTTTTTTATTTTTTTATTTTCTCTTTATTTTGCTCCCCCCATTCCCCCTCTCCGCTCTCTCTCCTGTCTCTCTCCTCGCAGGTGGTACGCCGGCGGCCTGTCCCGTGGCTTCGTCCTTTCCTACTCCTCTCTTCTCTGGCCCTCCTGGGTGAGTTAGGCCAGAGGAGACACAGCAGTGTGAGGCACAGAGAGTTCTGAACCCGTTCCGTTTTGATCCGTTTCAAGGTACCCCAGAGTTCATGGCCCCTGAGATGTATGAGGAGAAGTATGACGAGTCAGTGGATGTGTATGCCTTTGGGATGTGCATGCTGGAGATGGCCACCTCAGAGTACCCCTACTCAGAGTGCCAGAACGCTGCACAGATCTACCGCCGAGTCACCAGCGTAAGTGTCCTCCTTGGTCCAGCCCCTCCCCCCTCCATCCTCTCTGTCTCCCCTTCTGAATGTCTCTGCCAATTACACTCTGTCTTTCTTCTTCTATCCTTCCTCTCTTCCTCACCTCTTTTCCACCCTCTCAAGTTTTCTTCTCTTCAGTCTCTCTCTCTCTCTCTCTCTCTCTCTCTCTGTCTCTCTCGCTCTCTCTGTCTCTCTCGCTCTCTGTCTCTCTCGCTCTCTTTCTTTCTCTGTCTCTCTTTCTTTCTCTGTCTCTCTTTCTTTCTCTGTCTCTCTTTCTGTCTCTCTCTGTCTCTCTCTGTCTCTCTCTGTCTCTGTTTCTCTCTCTGTCTCTCTCTCTCATTCCCCTGGGCTGCAGTCAGTCAGTCTCACATATACTAGGCCTGTATGGTTTGTTCTTTATGAGCTCAGTCCATCATAAAGCTGATGTTTGATCACTGGGGAGGAGGACTCTCCCTGGGGGCCGAGAGGTTACCAACATACACACCCTCCTTGCTTTGTGCCGCCAGGCATATAATTTACGATGTTGAGATTGGGAAACATTAGCCTCCGCAGTTTTCGCAATGACTTACACCCGTCAGATGTCTGCCATAGCTGTTGAACTTGGACTCTGACACTGAAGGAGGTTTTTTTTGTTTATTTTTGTGCTCAGATGGTCTAGCTTTGATATGGTCAGATTTTTACAAGGTTTCAACTGTCAAAACTACTAATGGTATTAATAACTAATAATGATGTTGTGTGTCTGTAATATGATCATCTGTTGCTAGTCTGGTTGCCAGGGAAAGAGCGCTTCACTCCGCTACAGGAACCAGGCCTGTATTCACATGGCATTTTATTTGTTGTCTTTGAGATGTTTCCAATAGGTCCCTATGTGCTGATCTGGCACGTTGCTGATTTGTTACACGTATAGATCCGGAGACCTAGCTGACCCAATTAGTATTACTATTACCAAGCACTGAGAACGAGGAAGGCCTTCCTGAGTGCAGAGAGGACATTTGAGTCTTCTTGTTATTCCCCATCGTCAGTGGCTGTGCAACGAGGCATGGCCCTCCTGTGCTAACCTGTTCCCAGATCTGTTGGTGCCGTCTCGCCAACTCCTATGGTCATTGACTGCACAAACAGATGTGGGACCAGGCTAGTCCTGTGCTTGCTGCCTCTCCTCTGTATAACCCCTCCTTAGGTCCCTTCACCACCCCACCTCTCTTCAGCTCATCTGTTAACTGATGACCTTTCATTTTTCTATTTTCTCGTTCCTCTAATTGGGTTGTTTACTCTCCTCTCCTCTCCTGGGAAAATAGAAGCAGTCATGAGCTCTGTCTGGTTTAGTTGGAGCCGTGGCCACAGTCATATGATGCTACTGCTATAGATGGATGGAGAGGGAGGCATTCTGGCTGTCCCAAATGGCACCCTATTTCCTATATACAGTAGTGCACTACTTTTGACCAGGGCCCATGGCTCAGTGAGGGATTCTGTGAAGGGGTTGTTTTGTGGTCACCAGTAGGGGGAGATGGTGGGTCTACTGTGCTGTGGTATGTTGTCATTTTGAGAGAAGTAGAGGGGAAACCTGTCTGCATTCCATGCTTCCTCGGCTACTTCTGTAGATTACAGACTGTTCTGTGATTCGTCCAGACAGCCTTTTCTGAGCTCAAATGTCTGAATTCCTCAGTCAACCAGTAAAGCCAGTATAGGTAGGCTAACCTCCACACTGGGGAAATCATTCTGCAGGAAGAGCAATCCTGAAATACTCTAAATACCATGGAGGTTTTGTTTTACGTTCTCTTCCGAATCACATTTGTTCAAGGCTGGTTGAGATATTTATTTCAGTTATTTCCTGTCACTGAGGCTTTTACCTAAAACCTAGGCCTCAGTCGTCCTCAGTGTCAGCCAGTCTCTCTCTGTGTCATGTCCCCTCACAGAGTCCCATACACTCACTGACTCCCCCTCCTCACAGAGTCCCATACGCTCACTGACTCCCCCCTCTTCAGAGTCCCATACGCTCACTGACTCCCCCCTCCTCAGAGTCCCATACGCTCACTGACTCCCCCCTCCTCACTGACCCCCTCCTCACAGGATATCCTGTTCATCCTAAGGGGCCACAGAATCCCAGGGTGAGAGGGAGCGACAGAGGGAGCGAGGGAGGGAGAGCGAGAGAGGGATCAAGGGAGAGGGCGGGAGGGAGGAAAAAGGAATGACAGCTCTCACGCTAGCTGTGAATGGCTTACATAATGGCCTGTTGGAAAGAGGACTGTGGAGAGTCGTAGAGAGCAGCTGCAGGATGCAACCTCCTATATTGGTTGGCATTCTAATGGACAGAGGAAGGCAGGAAAACGTTCTCTGAGGGCAGACAGAACTATGTTTTGGGGGCTGCCCTCCCCTTTACACCAGTTCATCTGTAAAGCTTAGATCCCTCCTTACATTCCGGGATGTTTTTTAATCAGCAGGAATCCAGTCGCGCAGACGCCACTCAACACAGCTCTGCAACCAGAAGCAATTTGAGTCTGAGTCTAAGGATGGCCGGGTGGATGGCGGATGTCTTTTTTTAAGCTGAGTGTTACTGCCATGAGATGATCTCATCACGCAGACAGATGTGGCAGTCTATTTCTTTCTTCCCTTTGAAAAACTTTCTTCCAGAATGATCTCTTCATTGTAATGTAATGTGTTTACATAGCACCGCTGGTCAACATCAAGCTCCAAGTACTCAAAAGTAATCAGTTTAAGTCTTTCGTGAGCTTTTTAGGAAATCCCAATGTTTTTAAGTACAGGAATTATTATTTCGTAGAACTCTGAGCCCGGACAGACAGACGGCTAGTCAGTGAGGAACCATGAACCGTGCTTATTGACCGTCATGGCTGATTGCGGTGGTGGGGTGACCTCAGCTTTAGGGGTCACCACACACGGTTGTCTGGGAGATGTAATCCTGTGTAATGATAATGACAGAGCAGCTTCTCTGGACCCCCCCCCCCCCTCCCCAGTCACTGTGACTCTGCATGTCATTCTCCTGTGGGATCAGAGTAGGGATTTGTCATGGGAATACAGGACTATTAATACTTCAACCTTTCTGTTTCTTATATAAGATTTGTATGGATTTTAGCTGCTGGGAACTAACGTAGCCTATGGCATTTCCTTTATGTGCTTAAGAGGAATCAATGTGAGCTGAAGTAAACGAGCGTGGTCAGTTGACCAATTGGGAATCAATCTCCTAACGTCACCTCAGCGATCCATCACATTACTTCTTTCTTTCTTTTGCCTTAGGAAGGTTATGTGGATGCATCATGTTAGGTTGGAAATTGGCTTCATGTGAAGTAATAAAGTTAAAAATGACGTCTTTTGACTCTTAGACAGACTGTCTAGAATGACTATGTCAGTGACTGTAGTGTTGCAATGTCTTGTCATGTTACTTTCAGACACACACTCTCTCACACACACACACACACACACACACTCACACACACACACACACACACACACACACACACACACACACACACACACACACACACACACTCACACTCACACTCACACAAACCAGACAGTGTCTAGATAACGCTGATGGTATATGATGACCCAGCGTGCTCCCGTCTCTCTCCTGTCTCTCTGTTCTCCCAGCTCTGCAGACTGACGCTTATTGCAGACTGTTACCCTCAGTGACAGTTCCACTGCTTGCGTCCCAAATGCCACCCTAATACCTATATAGTGTACTACTTTTGACCAGGGCCCATATAGGAGATAGGGTACCATTTGGGACGTACCCGCTTGCTCCCAGTCCAGTCATTTGTATGTAATGTCCGGGGTATTTTCTTCCCTTTCTTTGTTTGCTGGAGAGATGGACTATTTAAATCTGCCAGACCGGCCGGCCGGATTCTTAAGAGCAATTAAAACATGTACGTTTATGTGAATTCTACTCTGAATTATAAAACGAACACACACTTTGAGAACTGACGTGAACACTCAAATTGTAAAGAGCTGGAAAGTCAACTTAAAGGCCAAGTGCAGACAGAAACGTGATTTTCCTGTGTTTTATATATATTTCCACACTGAGGTTGGAATAATACTGTGACATTTTGAAAATGATGATCATGCCCGTTTTGTGTGAAAGCTGTTTTGAAAAGACCGCCTGAAATTTCTGCATGTTTTGGTGGGATGGAGTTTTGGCCTTCCATGGTGACATCACCATGCGGTAAATTAGTCAATAGACCAATAAGAAAGAGTTCCAAATCTCCCTGCCAATAACAGCACATTTTTTGTTTTCCCCTCCCCACTCAGACCACTCCCAGACAGTCCTAGTAAAATTCTGGCTTGAGAAATTGCCCTTAGCTAAGAAGCTATTTTTGTTTATTTTTGTCAATTTTAATTGAAAACAATCACAGTAAGGTACTTAATTGTTACCCAGAAATTATTTGGTATTGAGATTAAAACTGCTGCATTGGACCTTTTTAAGATCATAATTAATCCTTTTCTCTTTCCACAATGGGGCGAATCAGTGAAAAAAACGGATTCACCCCCACATACCTAGCTAGTCCACCCACACCATCCTCACCTCAACTCTCTCCACCCTCCCTCTGCCTCTGGTCCTTTGTAAAACATTTTAAAAGACTGTACCCTTTAATTTCTCTCTCCATTGTTGGCTGTTCTGTGAGGGGGGAAGAAAGGAACCAGCATGGATCCGGCTTAAAGGACCTCTTCACTGTGAGAGTTTCATCTGTAATGAGTTTCTTTTTTTAAATCACCTTGTTATTGGAATTACTGCTTCTCCTTAATTCCATTACCTCTTCCGCCGTCATCCCTAACTTTGTTTGGCCCCAGGAATCTCTAGGAGGGAGGTGTGTGTGTGTGTGTGTGTGTGTGTGTGTGTGTGTGTAATGTTATATAAAGACAGAGGTTCTAGATTGGAGGGGTGAGGGACGGGGGGGGGGGGGGTTGGTAAATACTGAGACAAACCACTGTGTTGG